TTATTCCTTTGGAAACTCCATCTCCCAATATGTATACTTTAGAACAAATAAAAGCATTTTAGTTTTTAAATGTGATCCCAATTCAAGAATCACTTTAGCCTCACTGTCTTCTTTCTATTTCCTAACTTTTCCACCCTTTCCCAGCTCCTCTTTTTATTTTCACTTTCAGCACTGCAACGCTGTTGGTCCACATCTGCCAGGACACTGACTCATAAAGTTCAGCCTGGGACCCTGAACAGCTCAGAGGGAGGAGCCAGACCAGAAGTTCCTCATACTCTGCACTCTTTTATCTGGACAATGGCTGCATAACGACTGCTCCATAATGACAGTGGGTGGGACGCTGATATACACCAGGATCACTCTTCTGCTGCTCTCGCTTGGGGTATCTCTGTCCATTCATGGCCTCTCCCAGGCCAGGCCCTCCCAGCATTTCAGCTCCCCGGAAGTGGTGATCCCCTTGAAGGTGACCAGCAGGGGTAGAGGTGCAAAGGCTCCAGGATGGCTCTCCTACCGCCTGCGGATTGGGGGCCAGAGGCACATTGTCCACATGAGGGTCAAGAGGCTGTTGGTTTCCACACACCTCCCTGTGTTCACCTACACAGAGCAGCATGGCCTCCAGGAGGATCATCCCTTTGTCCCTGATGACTGTTACTATCATGGTTACGTGGAGGGGGTCCCTGAGTCTCTGGTTGCCCTCAGCACCTGTTCTGGAGGTTTTCAAGGAATCCTACAGATATACAGCCTCCCTTATGAAATCAAACCTATTGGGCACTCTACAACATTTGAACACCTCTTGTATCAGATAGTTCATGATAACACAGAATCATCATATTTGAAATGTGGGTTAACAGAAGAGGCAATAGAACATCAACTGGAGTTGCAAGCATCATATAATTCTACTCTGAAACAAAGTTCTATTTCAGGATGGTGGACTCACTGGCGGTTTGTTGAACTGGCAGTAGTTGTGGACCATGTTAGATTTCTTTACTCCCAAAGTAATGTGTCAGTGGTGCAGTATGAAATATTTCATGTTATCAATATAGTAGACGAATTTTATCACCCTATACAGGTTGATATAACTTTGACTGGTATTGAGATCTGGAATAAAGGAAACCCAATTTCAACCAGTAAGGCTTTAGAAGAACTGCTATCAGATTTTGCTATTTGGAAGCATTCACATCTTGATCCCCATCTTCAGTATGACACTGTACATCTTTTCATAAATGAAAAATATAACGCAACAGTTGGTATGGCCTATATTGAAGGAATATGTGATCCCCCTTTTAACTGTGCAGTTAGTGTTTTTGAAAGCCAAGACTTATTTCTTTGTGCACTTACTATGGCCCATGAACTTGGTCATAATTTGGGTATGAGGCATGATGATCAGTGGTGCGCATGCGAAGTAGAGTGGTGCCTAATGTACACCTACAGACGGAATACAACTAAATTCAGCAACTGCAGTTATGCGCAATATTATGATACTACCAGGAATCCTGGAATGTGTATTCACTCTCCTCCATATACAGGGTATGTCTCTGGGTTGAAGTTCTGTGGGAACAGGGTGGTCGAAGAAGGAGAGGAGTGCGACTGTGGATCTGTACATCAGTGTGAACGTGATCCCTGTTGTCTTTTGGACTGTGCTCTGAGGCCTGGCGCTGCTTGTGCTTCTGGCAGTTGTTGCAAAGACTGCAAATTCTTGCCACCAGGGACTTTATGTAGACAGCAGGTCAGTGAATGTGACCTTCCAGAGTGGTGCAATGGGACATCACACGAGTGCCCGGATGATGTATATATACAGGATGGCACCCCCTGTATGGGTGGTGCCTCCTGCTATGCAAAGACATGTAATAACCCTGATGTTCAGTGCAAGGAGATTTTTGGCCGAGAGGCAAGGAGTGCGTCTGAGATTTGCTACAGTGAAGTGAACACCCAAGGAAATCGTTTTGGCCACTGCGGTATCGTAGAAACAACATATGTAAAATGTATGGCTCCTGATATCATGTGTGGGAGAATTCAGTGTGAAAACGTCCACAAAGTTCCCAATCTGAAGGAACACTCTACCGTGCACCAGTATCACTTCAATGATACCACTTGCTGGGGCACTGATTATCACTTAGGGATGTCCATACCTGACATTGGTGAGGTGAAAGATGGCACGGTGTGCGCTCCAGGAAAGATCTGCATTGGCAGGAAATGTGCCAGTGTGAATCCTGTGCCACAAAACTGCGAGCCCCTGCATTGCAGCCTGAGAGGAGTCTGCAATAACAGACAGCACTGCCACTGTCGCCACGGGTGGGCACCTCCCAACTGCAGCTATGAAGGCCATGGAGGGAGCGTGGATAGCGGTCCACCTCCTACAAACAGGAGGGAAGGATTAAGCGTGGTAGGAAATGTGGGTTACACTTCGGTATTACTTGTGATTCCTTTGATTGCTATAATTTTATATTGCCTTTTTGTACTGTGTAAGAAAGAAAAGGATAGAAATAAAGAAGTTGAAATAACAGAGGAAGCAGAATCCACAGAAACAGAAGAATATTGAGCACACAAAAAGGGATCAGGTGAAACAAAACTGGAAGAAAGGAGAGCAAAGAAAAGAGAACAGCAGGAAAGGGAGACAAAGTGGAAGCCCAAGGCTCATACTTCCTTCAACAGGATCTCTTTTACTTTGATTGTAAGGAAACTGGACTCATCTAACCATTTGGACAAAAATTCAATAACAACTCATGGCAATCCCGCAAGCATTAGATATCACAACACCGGATTCCTACATGGTTTTACATACTTTTCAATGTTTGAAGCAACATTAAACATTCATTTTCCCAAAGTTGTCTCACTATGTTCTCAAGCAAAAGCCTAGAAAAGCCCTACTTTAAAGCTGCTCACTCTCTCAGTTCTAAACCTCCTCTCATGTCTGGGATGTGTGCCCACCTAGCACATTTCTGTTTGGTACAGTTGGCTGTAAACAAGGGCCCATAAGAAATAACCCAGAGTGACAGATGGCAGGAGAAGGTATTTTTCTTTCCTTTGTATTTAGCATTTCTGACAGCATCATTTTTGGCTGCAGCCATTCACCCTCGTGGGCCTGGTTGTTTTTGGATTCCAGTTTTGTCGTTACTCTGTTCTTCCTTAGAAGTACCAGCAGCTGTTAGTCACCAACTCTCTCAGTGTCTGTATTGCAGATTGGATTGGCTGGGTGTTCCTCCTGTGAGTTCCTGAAGCCCCAGAACCAGCTGAGTATCATGTCCTCCTTAGAGATCTCAGTCCCTGTTTCACAGGGGGCTTCTTGTGAACTCCTCTGCTCTGGTGAATACAATCTCTTGCCTCTGTCTTGCTGACCCTAGAGGGTTTTAGGGGCCTTCTGTAATCACCTTCTTTGTTGTAGTAAGTTGTGTTATCCAGAAGCACACACTGAATTGGGGTTTAGAGTGAAAGATCCTGACACCAACAGCTGCGTAAATGATGGTTATGAACTCAGTATTATGAATGGGAAATTGAATTACATTTTCGCATTGGCTAGTCAGGCAGCAAAATGTTGTTTGATAGAGTTTTTGGAGTTGTGTCAAAATGATCTGATCTTCTCATTCAGTCCTTGCTCAGTCATGAATATGGATGCCCTGGGAAGGGTATGAGCCTGTTGGGGCATCTCTCTAAACTGAGGTCAAACCAAAGAGCTCATATCTGGGTTCCCTAATGGAGATCTTAAGCCTTGCCAGTGCTCATCAAGACTTTGCTGGAAGGCATATCTAGGTGGCTTTTTTGGATACTCCACAGTGCAGTATTAGCACAGCTCTGATCTGCTTTTGCAAATATGTCCTGGCAACAACCTCCCGGATTCTTGTGGATGCCTCTGCCTGTGGGGCACATTAAAAGTGGGAAGTTAGTAGGAAGAACCACAGTCTACATTCTGTTTGCTAGTGGGGATGAAAGTATACTTATTGTTTCTCTAATCCAGTGTTCCCATTTCCCTCACTGTGATGGCAAGTATTCTGATAGCTTTAGTTGATTTCCATGTGTCATGATGCAGATCCTTATCACCAACCTGAGCACGTAGTCACTGTAGCCTGCCAGGTTGGGATTGCCGATCCTATGCATTCATACCTACCACTGGGTTTGTGAACCAAGAAGTTCCTGAGGAGATCACTTGGGTTTTGCACCTTCACCTTGGTATTCCTGTCTTATAACAGCAGCCCTTGATGATTAGGCTCAGTTACCCCTATCAAGGGTTGATCCCTCTTTTTGTTGCTGTTATGAAGACACACTGGGTTCAGAATTCCCAGGTGATAGTGCCATTTTATAAAGCATTATGATTCTAACTTTATACTCATAAGATTAACCATACACTAAGTAAAGAGTTCAACAAATTATATCTAGGAGAAAAAAAACACCATTCCTCAACAGTTGAGACAAGGGGTTAAAAATCCTCACATCTCAAAGTGTCGATTTCATTCCTATAGATTGCCTTTTAGGTACTCTATTAGTTATTACAGATCAGGGGAAACATATGGTCTTTGTTTTTGGGACTGGCTTATTTCACTAAGTATAATGGTTTCCAGTTGCATCCATCTTATTGCAAACAACAAGATTTCATTTTGCTTTTTTTTTACTGCTGTGTAGTATTCCATTGTGTATACATAACATAATTTCTGATATCAGGTCTTCTGTTGATGGGCATCTGGGTTGATTCTATATGTTAGCTGTTGTTAATTGAGCTGCAATAAACATGGAGTACAGATAACTCATATGCTGACAAATTCCAAGGAGTGGAATGGCAAGGTCATATGGTAGGTCTATATTCAGATTTCTCCATATTGTGTTTCACAGTGGCTGTACCACATTACATTCCCACTAATAGTCGATTCAGGTACCTTTTCTCTCACATCTGTGCCAGCATTTGTTTTTGTTGATTTCTGTATGAGATCCATTCTAAGTAGGGTGAAGTGATCTCATTGTGGTTTTGATTTGCATTTCCCTGATGCCTAGTGATCCTGAGCATTTTTTCATGTGACTGTTGGCCATTTTAATTTCCTCTTTTGAAAAATGCCTGTTCAATTTCTTTGTCCACATCCAGCTTCATTCTAATGTGATCAGAAAAGATGCATGGAATGATTTTGATTTTTTTGGAATTTGCTGATACTTGATTTATGTCCTAGAATATGATCTATCCTAGAGAAAGTTCCATGCTTCTGCAAGTATATGTTCAAAGGTTCTGTAGGTATTAATTAGGTCCATTTGGTCCATAGTGTCAATTAGCTCTGTTGTTTCTTTGTTGATTTTCTGTCTAGTTGATCTGTCCATTGATGAAAGTAGGGTGTTGAAGTCTCCAATTACTATTGTGTTGGAGTCTATGTCTCCCTTTAGATCCATTAGTATTAGTTTTAAATAGCCAGGCACCCAGGCATTGGGTACATATACATTTATTATAGTCACATCTTCCTGTTGAATTGATCCCTTAGTCATTAGATTGTGCCTTCTTTGTCCCTTTTAACAGTGTTTTTGTTAAAGTCTGCTTTGTCTAATATTAAGTTCAGTACACCTGGTCATTTCTGATTTCTGTTATCATGGAATATCTTTTTCCATCCTTTCACTTTCAATCTGTGTGCATCTTTGTAGATGAGGTATTTTTTTTGTAGGCAGAAAATAGATGGGTCTTATTTTTTATTCATTCAGTCAGTCTGTAGCTTTTCCTGGACAATTTAGATTACTTATATTCAAGGTAACTGTTAATAAGTAATGACTTGGCCCTGCCATTTTTTCCCATAAATATTCCTAATGTTTACTTTGGATTTCCTTTGTACTTTTATTGGAAGATTTTCTGCCTTCACATTCTTCCTCCATAATGATGTCCATCAGTCTGTGTTTCTGTGTGTAGCACATTCTTAAACATCTTATGTAAGGCTAGAGGAATGTTGACAAATTCTCTTAATTTCTGTTTGTTATGAAAGGTCTTTAACCTTCATTTGTAAATGAGAGCTTTGCAGGGTACAGTGTTCTGGCTTGACAGTTTTTTCTCTCAATAGTTGAATGATGTCTTTCCATTGTTTCCTAGCGTGTAGGGTTTCTGATGAGATGTCAGCTGTAAGTCTGTTTGAAGATCCTCTGAACATTTTACGGCATTTCTCTCATGTGCATTTTAGAACCTTTTCTTTATGTTTTACTATGGAAAGTTTGAGTACAATGTATCATGGTGAAGATCTTTTCTGGTTATGTCTATTAGGAGTTCTATATGCTTCTTGTCTTGGATGTCTCTGTTTTCTGTAAATATTTCACTAGAAAGGCCTTCTAATCCATATTCTCTTTCCACACCTTTGGGAACTCCTAAAAGCCTATGTTGGGTTGTTTTATAGTTTCCCATAAATTTCCAATGCTGTTTTTAATTTTTCTAACATCTGATTTTTTTTGTCTGACTGAAATATTTCCAGAAATTTGTCTTCTAGCTTAGATATTGTTTCTCCTGCCTCACCTAGTCCATTGTTAAGGCTCTCTACCATTTTCTAATTTGACTTATAGAATTCTTTTTTTAAAAATGTTTATTTTATTTATATGAAAGAGGGGGGCTTCCATCTGCTGATTCACTCCCCAAATGGAGCTGAGTCGATCCAAAGCCAGGACCCAGGAGCTTCTTCTGAGTATCCCACATGATGCAGAGGCCTAAGGACTTGGCTCATCCTCCACTGCTTTTCCAGGTGCATTACCAGGGAGTTGTATCAGAAGTAGAGCAGCCGAGAGTCGAATCAGTGCCCATATGGGTTTACTGGCGTTGCAGGCTGCTGCTTTAGTCCACTGTGCCACAGTTCTGGCCCTAGAATTCTTCATTTCTACTATTTTATTTTTATTTCTCTTTAAAATATCAATTTCATGGGAAAATTTTTCATTCATGTCATGTATGGATTTCTTTATTTATGGATTTGCTTCTGATTGTTTATGAGTAATTTGATTAATCTTTAGAATTCCATTTCAGGCATTTCAACAATCTCTTCATCTTCATATTCTAATATTGAGTGTTGTGTTCCTTTTGGAGGGGTATCATGTTTTCTTCCTTATTCTTGTTTCTTGAATTTCTGCATTTAGTTTTTGGCATTTGTGGAAATACTTGTTGCTTTTTTTCCTCTGATGGCTTTTATCTTTGAGCTATACCTCTGTGGCTTAGTGGAATGTCTGCTCTTTCAGCAAATACCCAGAAGTGTGTTCTTCATGTGGCCAGGGAGCTTAGGTCAATCCTCCAGGGTGGGGTAGTATCCAGGGCCATACCCAAGTTCGGTGTGGTAGATCTCCTCTTGTTCACATAAGGGGAGATATGGTCACGTTTCTTGGTGTGGTCACACCCTTCCCTCCTCTCTTTCAAGGTGATCAATGCCTGGTATTAGCTCTCAGTGGGTGCAGTACTCATCTGTGTACTGCATGAACTGCACAAAGGATCTGTGCAGTCCTCAGTGTGAGCACAGATCCTGCTGCAATGACCCAACCCAGGCAATCAGGGAACTCTGAGTGTATAGCCATACATAGTGATTGCCCAGAGACTCAGCTCTACCCTGCATCTACTCATGCAGTCAGAGTCTTTACTGTTCCATTGTCTTAGCATTCAGGACTCCCACAGTCACGGGGTATACAGGAGCCACTCTGCCCCTCTATCCTGTCCCATCCACAGAGAGGATGAGACTTCCCAGAGTCTGTTTGCCTGTAGGTGCTCTGCCTAGGAGGTTTGGGCCCCAGAGGCCCCAGAGCCTGTGATATGTTGAGAGGCTTGGGACACTTCACAGACATATGTGGGTGCCCTGCCCTCACTCTTCCTTAAATCCTCCCAGCAAGACTCAAAGTCAGGAGGGAACATGGATTTTTCCTTGGATCACACTGTGTGCAATAGCAGCCAGCCACCTCCCTACTCATGTCACAGTCATTCTAGGTACACATAGGGGTCTCTGCAGCCAGTGCTAATGTCAGAATGGCTCCTACTTCCTAGCTGTTGCTGGGTGTGCACACTGGACCAGCTGTGTTTGCCTCTGCTGACAAGATGGCTACTGTTACTGCCAGTTACTAGATGTATCCACAAGAGCTACTACCTACTTAAATCCAAAATGGTGCTCACCCTCACTCAGCCAGTTGCAGGGTGCTGTTGTGGGGGCATGGGGAGAGGGATATGTACCATTTTTCTTTTTCTCTGGGTAAGTGGGCACCCTGCTCCCCTCAGGGCTCTGGGCTGGACTCAAAAACAGTGTAGTCCACTGGGTTCTTCTTCCAGCTATGTCACCAGTGGCACAGTCCACTGAAGTCTGATCTCACCTTGCTCTCCACAGCTGGTGCTTTCTCTTGTGTTTATAATTTCAAAATCTTGATAAAATGATGTTCTTATCAATGTATAATGTGCTTCTTTGTGTCTTTTTACAATTTTTCATTTAAAGTCAGTTTTTATCTGAAATGAGCAAGATACTCTTGTTCACTTTTGTTTTCCACGGTTTTTCTTTTTCTAATCCTTTACTTCCAGTCTATATATATCTTCATCTATGAAGTGATAGTTTTGTAGGCAAGTATATGGTTGGGTTTAGTTTTTTTTTTATTCCGATCAAATTACACAGGAGACTTTAATTCCTTTAAAGTTAAAGTGAATATTGAAATAAATAACTACTGCCAACTTGGTGATTACTTACTGATTTTTTTTGACAGGCAGAGTTAGTGAGAGAGACAGAGAGAAAGGTCTTCATTCCGTTGGTTCACCCCACAAATGGATGCTACGGCTGGTGTGCTGCGGCCGGCGCTGTGCCTATCCAAAGCCAGGAGACAGGTGCTTCCTCCAGGTCTCCCATGCGGGTACAGGGCCCAAGCACTTGGGCCATCCTCCACTGCCAACCCGGGCCACAGCAGAGAGCTGGACTGGAAGAGGAGCAACTGGGACTAGTATCTGGTGCCCCAACTGGATCTAGAACTCGGGATGCCGGTGCCACAGGTGGAGGACTAGCCAAGTGAGCTGCAGCGCCGGCCACCAATTGTTTTATATGTATCTGTTGCTTTGTTCCTGTCTTGTTATTTCTCCATATGTTTTGGTAGCTTAATGTCATGATTGGTTGGATTCTCTTCTGTTTCTCTCTTTGTGTATGTGACTGATAGTTAATTTTTTCTGGTTATACATTTTTCCTGATGGTGGTTATGATTCTGTGACTCCCTTCATTATTTATTGTTGGGCTAATCTAATGGTGATGAAGTCTCTCAGTTTTTGCTTGTCTGGAAAAGAGTCTATTTCTCCTTCACCTCCAAAGGGTAGTTTGCTTGATATAGTATACTTTGTTGGAAGATTTTAAAAAAATTTCTAGATTATGACTATATCATTCCATTCTCTTCTGGATTGTAGGGTTTCTGTTGAGTCTTCTGTTAGTCTAATAGATGTTCCTCTATATGTATTTTTGTATTGGTATTTGGTATTTTTCCTTCATTGTCTTTAGGATTAGCTCCTGTCCTCACTTTGTCAATTTGAGTATGTCTTGGAGAATCTCGGTTTTGTTTTAGTCTGGTTGGGCGGGCCCTTTGAGCTCCCTGTATCTCCTTGTCTGTATCTCTTCTAACAGTTGGCAAATTGTCAACCATTACATTATCTCAGTGCATTTTATTTTCTATTTTTCCATGGTATTCCTATAATACAAATACATATACATTTAATATTATATCTAGTAGGCTTTATTTATTCTTTTTCCTTTATTTTTATCCAACTGGTTTTTTTCCCAAAAATCTTGTCCTCAAGATCAGAAATTCTTTCTTTTTAAAGGAAATATTTACTCATTTGAAAGTCAGAGTTACAGAGATGGAGATGGAGAGGGAGAGGGAGAGGGAGAGGGAGAGGGAGAGGGGAGGGAGAGGGAGAGAGAGGGAGGGAGAGGGAGGGAGAGAGACGGAGAGAGAGAGAGAGATTGAGAAATCGGTTGATTTGTTTGATTTCATCCTCTGGTTCACTCACTAGGTGGCTGCCACACCTGGGACAGTACCAGGCTGAATCCAGGAGCTGGGAGCTTCTTCCAGTTCTCCCACATGGCAGGGAGGAGCCCAAACACTTGGGCCATCTTGCATTGCTTTTTCCAGGCACATTAGTATGGAACTGGGTTGGAAGTGGAGCAGCTGGGACATGAACCAGTGCCATATGGGATACTGGCATTGTAGGCAGCAGTTTTACCTTCCATGTCACAATGCTAGCCCACAGAAATCTTTCTTCTGCTGATCATTTTTACTGATTTTGCACTAGTTGGTGCAAGCCTGCATTAGTGGTATGCAGACGGGTCCTTCCCAGGTCCCAGGGGGTGAGCACAGGTGTCCTTGGTACTTACAGAACCATCAGTCATGGGATCAGAGCTACAGGATGCATTAGAGTCCTTCCCCAAGTCTCAAATTTCAAATGCAGATCATGCTAACAAATATAACGCTAGTAGTTACAGTATTGGATCTGCAAGGATAGAGGGATACTTTCCTCAATCCCGTGAGACAACTGTGGGTCATATTAGGTATTATGCACTCACAGAGCCCAGTTTGAAACAGGAAGGCAGAACCTCCTGGTCCCACCAGTGAGTTCAAGTTAGCCATGGCTCAAAACTACAGTATAGAGAACAGATTGCACCAGTTTCCACAGGGCATGAAAGGGTGTTGATTCGGCTTGTTCTCTGGCAACCAAGCACCCTTTGATATGCAATGCAAAAGGGGAATTCTTCGGGTCTGGACCTCTGGGCTTGGATATTGTCTCTGTCTAGACCAAAAATCCAAGAGTTTTGGGTCTAGACAATGAGTGGATTTCCACAGGATGTGCGAAGAGTAATCTTGGCTCTGACGCTTGTGCCTATGAATCCTGCAGCTGATGTCTGCCCTATGAAGTGCCCTGGCTGTAGCTCTGGGATTTGTTACAGAGATGGGGCAGCCTGGTGTCTTCTAGGACCAAATGGAGCTTAGTAGGTACTGTTCTGCAGAGGCTTGAGCCTAGGGCTTTGGGTGGGCAGCAGTGAGGCTTCTTTATATAAAGTAAATCTGTCAGTCAGACCCCAGTAAATTTGCTAGCCAGGATTAATGTCAGTTTCCCAGGTTTTGAAATTCTTTTTTCTTTCTTTTTTTCTTTCCTTTTTTTAAAACTTTTATTTAATGAATATAAATTTCCAAAGTACGGTTTATGGATTACAATGGCTTCCCCCCCATAACGTCCCTCCCACCCGCAACCCTCCCCTCTCCCACTCCCTCTCCCCTTCCATTCACATCAAAATTCATTTTCGATTCTCTTTATATACAGAAGATCAGTTCAGCATACATTGAGTAAAGATTTCAACAGTTTGCTCCCACATAGAAACATAAAGTGAAAAATAATAGATGATTTTTTTTCTTTTTTTTTCCTTTTTTGGAATTCAAAGTCAAGTTTATTCTGGTGCAAAACCAATTTTGAAATCCATATGCATAATTTTTTCATAACATGCATTTCCATGAACTTTTTGAAGACCCTGTCATCTGTTTTGTGTCAGTGAAATTGTACGTATATTTGTGATTATTCTCTATTTATGGAAAGTGGTACCTGTTTTTCATCTACGGAGCACGTAAAACTGTATTTTTAGGCTGGTGCCACAGCTCAATAGGCTAATCCTCCACCTTGCGGCGCCGGCACACTGGGTTCTAGTCCCGGTTGGGGCACTGAATTCTGTCCCGGTTGCCCCTCTTCCAGGCCAGCTCTCTGCTGTGGCCTGGGAGTGCAGTGGAGGATGGCCCAAGTGCTTGGGCCCTGCACCCCATGGGAGACCAGGAGAAGTACCTGGCTCCTGGCTTCGGATCAGCACGGTGCGCCGGCAGCAGCGCGCCGGCCGTGGCAGCCATTGGAGGGCGAACTAACGGCAAAAAAGAAAGACCTTTCTCTCTCTCTCTCTCACTGTCCACTCTGCCTGTCAAAAAAAAAAAAAAAAACCTGTATTTTTAAAGAAACAAATACCTCTCACAAATTGTTTAAAAATAAAATTGTTAAATGTGAATTTAACAAGAATCTCATGTTTTGAAACTACAAAACACCGATGAAAGAAATCAAGGATGACTAAGCCGTTAGCAAGGTGTACCATAGGCTGGAGGATTCAACAGAGCAAAGATGGCAGTTCTTACAGGTTCAGCATTATTTCATCAAAGCCGCATCGACATTTTTCTCCCCTTCCAGCGCCGATGTGTGGACTCGGAGCCCTGGACGTCGCAACTCTCCCCGCTGTTGTCTGTGTGACATGCACTCCCCTTCCCGCACTGGCGAGCAGACACTGCGGCTTCAGCGGCACCCGCGGCTCAATAGATGATTTTTTAAATGATGATGAAATCAGATCAGACCTATTGTCATGTTTATCCCAGTGAGAGTCAAGTTGGGAATTGATAATTTCTTTTTTCCGTAGAGGGTTTTTTACAGAGGATCAGTTTAGTATGCATTAAGTTTGGATTTCAACAGTTTGCACCCCCATAGAAACACAAAGTGAAATATACTGTTTGAGTACTCGTTATAGCATTAAATCTCAATGTACAGCACATTAAGGATAGAGATCCTACATGAGGAGTAAGTGCACAGTGACTCCTGTTGTTGACTTTACCAATTGACACTCCTGTCTATGGCATCAGTAATCTCCCTATGCTCCAGTCATGAGTTTCCAAGGCTATGGAAGCCCTCTGAGTTCTCCGACTCTTATCTTGTTTAGACAAGGTCATAGTCAAAGTGGAGGTTCTCTCCTCCCTTCAGAGAAAGGTACCTCCTTCTTTGATGACCTGTTCTTTCCACTGGGATCTCACTCGCAGAGATCTTTTGCCAGAGTGTCTTGGCTTTCCATGCCTGAAATACTCTCATGAGCTTTTCAGCTAGCTCCGAATGCCTTTAGGGCTGATTCTGAGGCCAGAGTGCTATTTAGGACATCTGCCATTCTATGAGTCTGCTGAGTATCTCACTTCCCATGTTGGATCACTCTCCCCTTTATTTACTCCATCGGTTAGTGTTAGCAGGTACTAGACTTGTCTATGTGCTCCCTTTGACTCCCAGTCCCTCCACCATGACCAACTGTGGACTGAAACTGATCACCTGGAACAGTGAGATGGCATTGGTACATGCCACCTCGATGGGATTGAATTGGAATCCCCTGGTATGCTTCCAACTCCACCACTTGGGGTAAGTCAGCCTGAGCATGTCCCAAATTATACATCTCTTCCCTCTCCCATTCCCACCACCATGTTCAACAGGGATCACATTTCAGTTAATTTTCAACACTTAAGAATAACTGTGCATCAATTACAGATCTAAACCAGTCATATTAAGTAGAACAGATAAAAAAAACTACTAAGAGGGATAATGTATTAAGTTGTTCATTAACAGTCAGGGCTATGCTGATCAAGCCACCATTTCCCATAGTGTCCACCTCACTCCAACAGGTTTCCCTCTTGGTGTTCAGTCAGTCGTCACCGATCAGGGAGAACATATGGTATTTGTCCCTTTGGGACTGGCTTATTTCACTCAGCATGATGTGTTCCAGATTCCTCCATTTTGTTGCAAATGACTGGATTTCGTTGTTTCTTACTGCGGTATAGTATTCTAAAGAGTACATATCCCATAATTTCTTTATCCAGTCTATCGTTGATGGGCATTTAGGTTGGTTCCAGGTCTTAGCTATTGTGAATTGAGCTGCAATAAACATTAGGGTGCAGACCGCTTTTTTGTTTGCCAATTTAAATTCCTTTGGGTAAATTCCAAGGAGTGGGATGGCTGGGTCGAACGGTAGGGTTATCTTCAGGTTTCTGAGGAATCTCCAGACTGACTTCCATAGTGGCTTGACCAGCTTGCATTCCCACCAACAGTGGGTTAGTGTCCCTTTTTCCCCACATCCTCGCCAGCATCTGTTGTTGGTAGATTTCTGCATGTGAGCCATTCTAACCGGGGTGAGGTGAAACCTCATTGTGGTTTTGATTTGCATTTCCCTGATTGCTAATGACCTTGAACATTTTTTCATGTGCCTGTTGGCCATTTGGATTTCCTCTTTTGAAAAATGTCTATTGAGGTCCTTGGCCCATCTCTTAAGTGGGTTGTTTGTTTTGTTTTTGTGGAGTTTCTTGATCTCTTTGTAGATTCTGGTTATTAACCTTTATCTGTTGCATAGTTTGCGAATATTTTTTCCCATTCTGTCGGTTGTCTTTTCACTCTCCTGACTGTTTCTTTTGCAGTACAGAAACTTCTCAATTTGATGCAATCCCAATAGTTGATTTTGGCTTTGACTGCCTGTGCTTCCCGGGTCTTTTACAGAAACTCTTTGCCTGTGCCAATATCTTGAAGGGTTTCACCAATGTTCTCTAGCAACTTGATGGTGTCAGGTCATAGATTTAGGTCTTTAATCCACGTTGAGTGGATTTTTGTGTAAGGTGTAAGGTAGGGGTCTTGCTTCATGCTTCTGCACGTGGAAATCCAGTTTTCCCAGCACCATTTATTGAATAGACTGTCCTTGCTCCAGGAATTAGTTTTAGATCCTTGATCAAATATAAGTTGGCTGTAGATGTTTGGATTGATTTCTGGTGTTTCAATTCTGTTCCGTTGGTCTATCCATCTGTTTCTGTACCAGTACCATGCTGTTTTGATTACAACTGCCCTGTAGTATGTCCTGAAATATCTGATATTGTGATGCCTCCGGCTTTGTTTTTGTTGTACAAGATTGCTTTAGCTATTTGAGGTCTCTTGTGCCTCCATATGAATTTCAGCATCATTTTTTCTAGATCTGAGAAGAATATCTTTGGTATCTTGATTGGGATTTTATTGAATCTATAAATTGCTTTTGGGAGAATGGACATTTTGATGATGTTGATTCTTCCAATCCATGAGCATGGAAGATTTTTCCATTTCTTGGTATCCTCTTCTATTTCTTTCTTTAAGGTTTTGTAATTCTCATCGTAGAGATCTTGAACGTCCTTGGTTAAGTTTATTCCAAGGTATTTGATTGTTTTTGTAGCTATTGTGAATGGGATTGATCTTAGCAGTTCTTTCTCAGCCATGGCATTGCTTGTGTATACAAAGGCTGTTGATTTTTGTGCATTGATTTTATATCCTGCCACTTTGCCAAACTCCTCTATGAGTTCCAATAGTCTCTTAGTAGAGTTCTTTGGATCTCCTAAGTAAAGAATCATATCGTCTGCAAAGAGGGATAGTTTGACTTCTTCCTTCTCAATTTGTATTCCTTTGATTTCTTTTTCTTCTCTGATGGCTCTGGCTAAAACTTCCAGAACTATGTTAAATAGCAATGGTGAGAGTGGGCATCCCTGTCTGGTACCAGATCTCAGTGGAAATGATTCCAACTTTTCCCCATTCAACAGGATGCCGGCTCTGGGTTTTTTATAAATTGCTTTGATTATATTGAGGAATGTTCCTTCTATACCCAATTTGCTTAGAGTTTTCATCATGAAAGGGTGTTGAATTTTATCAAATGCTTTCTCTGCATCAATTGAGATAATCATATGGTTTTTCTTTTGCAGTCTGTTAATGTGGTGAATCACATTGATTGATTTGCGAATGTTGAACCATCCCTGCATACCAGGGATGAATCCCACTTGGTCTGGGTGGATGATTTTCCTGATGTGTTGTTGTATTCTGTTGGCCAGAATTTTATTGAGGATTTTTGCATCTATGTTCATCAGGGATATTGGTCTGTAATTTTCTTTCAGTGCTGCATCTTTCTCTGGCTTAGGGATTAAGGTGATGCTGGCTTCATAGAAAGAATTTGGGAGGATTCCCTCTTCTTCGATTGTTCTGAATAGTTTGAGAAGAAATGGGATTAGTTCTTCTTTAAATGTCTGGTAGAATTCAGCAGTGAATCCATCTGGTCCTGGGCTTTTCTTTGTTGGGAGGGCCTTTATTACTGTTTCAATTTCTGTTTCAGTTATGGGTCTATTTAGGTTTTCGATGTCTTCATGGTTCAATTTTGGTAGATTGCATGTGTCCAGGAATCTATCCATTTCTGATAGGTTTTCCTGTTTGCTGGCATACAGGTCCTTGTAGTAATTTCTGATGATTCTTTTTATTTCTGTGGTGTCTGTTGTTACGTTTCCTTTTTCATCTCTGATTTTATTGATTTGGGTCTTTTCTCTTCTTTTTTTAGTTAGTTGGGCCAATGGGGTGTCAATTTTGTTTATTTTTTCAAAAATCAGCTTTCTCGCTTGGCTGATTTTTTGTAATGTTT